AAAGTGCCTGCCACTTACTCTAGCCCCACACAACATGAAGCCATAAACATGGTGTAAAACCCCATGACAGGCACACACACACACACACACACACACATGCGAACATAAAGGACATGCGTGCAAATATAAGCGCCCCGGCAAAGCCGCAACGCCCAACGCCGCGCAGCACCGATAGCTCCTGCACGCCAAGAAAAGCAAGGGCATAATTATAGCATTATCACACACGCACACACATGCACACACACAGAAACGCACACTTACACACACTTTGGCACACACTAACGATAATCAATTGAGAAATGTTTATAATGAAGTGGCGCGACCGAAGTCCTGGCACAATGCCCAGCGCTAAGCACTTCATTTCCCATTTTCCAGCCATTTATCGTATCGTGTGTTACAGCTGTGGGCGTGGCATGCAAAAACGCCAAACCAGCAATAAAGCCGCCGTCCCTCTACATGCAGCGCCCATTGATACCATGTGCTAAGTATACGTTGACCAGAGATAAACATGGCCAACACGCACAACCAGCCCGACCACGGCGCCCGCACTCTGCCCGCCGCTGTTCGCGCTTTCATGACAACGTCCATCATAATTCATGGAGGGGACTTAGCGTAGGCAACTGGAACTGGAGCCGCTTACCAGTAACCAGCCCGTTCGGTACATTGTAATCAAATTAGCATACACACCCGGCCAGACAGAGAAGACACATAACTTGGGCATAATTGACTTTAAGGCGGCGTCAGCTTTAAAGCTGCAACTGGATCTGCAGTGGAGAAGTTGCCCAGAGTCAACTCAGGAAGCAGGGCCAAGCTTTGTCAGCTAGCTGCTATTTTAAGGGGGGAGGCAAAGCTCATTTAAACTGCCAACTGCCAACTGCAACAATGCCAATGAGCATTGGCAGCAGCTCCTCGGGCTGATGTAGGTGAATCCTGCGAATAGTTAGCGAATACCTGGCTGACTGTTCCCATTGTGTCATTGACTGGGTGCAATGCACCCTTGGCTCGGCCGGCAACCCATTTTCAACAGAGACTCTTTCATTTAATTTATGCCAAGTGCCAATGGCAATGCCAATGCCAATGTTGACGTTGAGGTTGCCTCAGCGAAACCTTTTAATCCTTATAAATGAGTTGCAAACTAACTCTGGGAGTTCAAAGAGCAATAAACTCTGCATATTACACATGCCAATTGGTTTTTGTTTAGAAATTAATTTATTTAAAAATATATTATTATGTTGTTATGTTACCCATATCCTATTCCATATTTTACAGATGCTTAAATTAATAAATTTTATTATTATAAATATTTTTTTTTCAGTTTCAATTTTTATGTACAATCTATCTTGCGATAATAAGTAAGTTATATGGTATAAATATTTGCATGAGGTTTATGTGTGTGATGATTTCTAAGTTTTCGGCCACATTCCTAAAACATTTTAAAGTGTCTTTCAAACAAATCCAAATATGTTTTCATTTTGATTTAACGTTCCTTTCTTTTTTGTTTTTTTCTCTTTAAATAGAAATAAATATCGCAAAAGAACTTTTAAATCTTTTAAATACTTTACACATTGATTAAAAATATTCTTAAATTGTAGTTGAATCATCAAAAGGCTTCATTATTTCTATAAGAGCAGCTAAATCGATTAATCGATGGTAAGATTTGGTTTGCTGCGCTTTCCGAAGTTTTTTTTTAAGCTTTAATCTTCAACTAAAATATACGTATAAATTCTTTTCAGAACCAATCTATCATATCGCATAGATCGCTGTCAGTTTTGCACTCATTCCCCGAACTTGGCTCGCGTTTGACTTCGATTGCAGCACTTAGCCCCTGCGCTGCCCTCGCTTAGCTCCTCAATGTCAACATTTGGTGGCATCAGAAGGCTGCCTGGCTTTGACAAGGCGTTTGTTGGGGCAGCACTTCCATGGGACAGCTACACAAAGCGGGGAGTCAAGTGCATTTTCGTTGGTTGATTTTCTTTTATATTTTTGTGTTTTTTGTTTATTTTTTTTATATTTTTTGTTTGCTGGCTTCGAGACTGCAATTCGAGCAATGCAGCCAAGTTTGCAGCGAGTGTCGAGTCGTTTTTTATATTTTCTTCTCGCCTTTCTTTCTCTTTTCTGATTTTTGTTTCTTTTGCAGTTTTCTTCCATTCGCAGCGCGCTTTCAATTTGTGTGTACATAAATTTCGAAATGGACTTCTCGTGTTTGGAGTCGCGACAGTAAAAAGAGAGAAAATGCTACCCCGGCTAGCTGGCTAAGGAATGGTGTGCGGAAACAAGTGGCCATGACGGCAGTAACCAGCTACAACAACTACAACTACAACTACAGTTGCAACAGCAACAGCAACAGCAAGTGCCAGATAGTGTTGCAAAAGGCAACTGCATAAATAACCGGAAAAAACAAAAGCCTCAGCACCGGGTCCAATCGAAAGTCAAGTCGCAATGCCGAAATTTACGACTCCCATGAAAAGTTCCACGCATAAATTTAGCGTGTTAAAAAATGCCAGAATTCCAGAAATAACACAACGAAATTGTTAACCAAATTCCTTTGTTTTATCGCATTTGTTGCATTTGTTTTAATTGGAAAACTTAAAACAATACCAAAGGCGACCCAGTTCTGGGTGCGCCCACTCCGAACTGGAGCTCGAACAGGGAACTGGACAATTTGATTTCCGCACTCAATGGACCGTTAAATTACAGCAGTAACAGCACATCCGAGGGTCGGGGGCTGCAGTGGACATGTAAGTGTTGATAACTATAAATGTCTAAGGCAAAAGTTCAAGTTTAAGTTTTTAATTTCGTCGCTCCGTTCTGCTTGGTCGGATCGGGGACCGTCCCGCTGGGTGTGGATAGAGTTGTAAGAAACGCTTCAATGCGCTGCTTTCTTTAATGCAGTTCTCACACTATCAAGGCGGAGGGCTGAGCATGACGAAAACAAATCTAACAGAGTATGTTTAGAAGTGTGAAGCGGCATGGCGGAAGGTGTGTAATAAAGTCTTTGATAACAATCATTCTGCGTACACATATAAAAATATAAAAAGAACATGATGCTGGTCTAGTTGGCCTATTAACGAAAACACATTTTAATTGGACATTTAATTGGAACAATCCCTTGACAATATAGGAGCATGAAAAGCACAGATCCTAGTTGACTTTTTCATAAGGTAGAAAGTGTTTGCTTGGCAATTAAATTGTAATTAAAACAAGTTTAAGTGAACTCTACGGGTGTGAAAGAAAAAACTCTAGAAATTTAGGAGACGTTTGGCTTGCAAATCTTTTAAAAACCCTTCAACAACACTTAACTTCGAGATTTTACTCTTTCAAAATTGTCTTTTCGAAACAAGATTGCTTAATATGAATATTTTGTCAACATTAACATTAAAGAATAAAAAGCATTGCTTTCCTTATAAAACAAACAAGCGAAAAGTTTGAAATACTATTTGCACTATATGCAGAATATATATAAAATCATGGTTCTTTTCATTCCATTCATTAGTCTTGACAAATTTTGTACTAAATCTCCTGACAAAATTGACAAAGATTTAAAACCAAAAGATTAATTCCTAAAAATTGGAATTGGGTTGAAATTTGCCTTAAGGAGATTTCTGTATCAAGCTCAATAATTTATTGTATGCCAATTTAAGTAATGCAGATGTCATATTAATTAAATTTGATGTAGCTTTTAGAGTCAATTTCATAATATACACATACGATAGACTATTTGCTTGCATTCAAATTCACTTTAAATATTTTTTTATCGAAATTAAACCAAGCAGAGCATAAAATGCAATTACTTCGAATTATGCAACAGTTCGAATACATATCGATATGTCAAATAAATTAAATTTCAACCGAATCCTGTCAAAGTCAAGCAAGGATTTAGGCAAGGGATTGTGAACCCGTCTTTGTGTGTATAAATGGCCATTTCAGACGCTGTAATGTTAAGCCGAGCATATGCTTATGTTCTGTATGTGATCCGGCGTCATCATTACCATTTTCTGTCATCGTCATATCATACCACGCACACACATACGCAAACGCATACACATGTCTTTATGACTTTCTCGCAAATGATAAGAAAAGTTTTTCCAACATGAACCGAGCATAACCCCCGAGAGCAGGAGATGTCCATGTCAAAACATATGGCATATTGCCAGGCAAAACATTTAATGGTCTGCAAAATGGCCAGTGGCAGGCAAAAGGACGAGCACGAGAGGACATTAAAAGTTGCTTAACCTTCATTAGGCGCCCAATGCCGACTGCCGACTGCCAGGGAAATGAAATTTAATATGTGTCATGACTTGGGCATGGGCAAAGTCCCGCCGCAGCCTCCGTTTTATCCTGGGCTTCGGGTTGCGCAATAAACGCGGCTGTCAGTGGAGCTTAATATGCCATTTGTGCATGGCAGCCATGTCGGCTGCACTGCATCCTAATGATATGCTTGAAAAAAGTTGCGAATCACCGCAGAACTTGGCAAACAAAGAAAGCAGCGAGCTTTAATCAGCAAGGATCCAGGCAAGGAGCCAAACTCAATTTCCCAGCTTGTTTCACGCCAGGGCAGACCTGCCGCAGCCGGCAGCTGGCAGCCGGGTCTGGCAGGTCGACTGTCTCCTACTTGACTCAACTCCTGCTTCCGGCCTCCGCCTCTGCCTCTGCTAACAGCGGCAAACGCGTTAATGCGGCGACATGGCATTATCCTTTTCTCGCTTTTGTGCTCCTTGTTGCCACTCCGCTACTCTGCGTGTATTTTGATAATCGAATTTGCGCAAACAAGCGAGCGACACACAGCAGCAGCAGCAGAAGCAAGCGAGGAGCACGACAAGCTTTCAAAGGACAACAGGACGAGGAAGAGTACTGCACTTCAACAATTAACGTGAAGGGGTTGCAGATATGCTAGCTACAACTTTCGCGCAAAGCTAATTAAAGCTTCACATGCATAAGCTTTTAAAGTCAAATAAATTTTGAACATCCACTGAAGTTCTAGAATGAAAACAATTTACAAATAAGTAAAACGACAGGATAGCCTTCTCTTTATTAATATTTACACTTATGTAAAACGAGTTTAGGGACCTCAACAAAAATATATTTAACAGAAGCTTAAAAGCTACTAAGAAAATTGTTGACAATCAAGCAACCGCGTTCTTGATTATCGACAATTTTCGAAGCAGCTCTTGTCGGAGAATCTCATGTAAAGACCATCTCTTCAGCTTCTGAGAAATCTTGCTTCGCAGAGACCTGTAGACTTGGTTGCCGAGTAGATAGGCTTGAAAGTATTCCAGAAAAGCGTTTTTATATTCAGTTTTTACTTTGTTTCTTCTTTCTCCCTTTGACTTTGGCTGGCTTTAGGTTAGGCGCCTTAAATATAGTCTTATCCCTTTTCTTCTTCAGAAGCATTGCTCGTCGCTTGGATCGGTTTGACAACGCAGACTGCCGTAGATTTTCTTCCGTAATCTGTAAAAAAACGAATAATTTATTGAAATCCAAATCAGTTTATCCGAATAATCTTACAGCGAGATTTATTGCGTGTTGTTTTTCAGCTGCGATTATTTCTTGGACCTCCGTGACACGCCGACGCATGAAATCAATTTTATCCTGTGCCTCCCTGTGGTCATCATGGACCCTAGCCAATTGAAATTTCAACCTAATTATCTGATCTTCCCAATATTCCACATCGTCAGAGAGCTTTTGCGTAAAATGAACTAAGCGGCTATAATATTTCTGTAATGGTTAATTGTGCGTTAAACGACGAGAATGTTTGCCAGGAATTAATTTGATTACTTCTATGGTCATACTGTACGCGCACTGAACGGCATTCGTGGCGTGAGTGTCTTCCTGTGTGGAGTCCTTGAGCTTCTGGATCTGCTCCTCCAGCCTCACCACGGGCATGTTGTCTTTCATGGCCTGCATCTTCACCAGGGTGGCATAGTAGTCGCGTACGTAGCGCCACTCGATGGGCAGGCGCACAGTGGCCTCCATGGAGCGTCGCTGGCAGCTCTTGACCAAATTATCCTTGAACTGGGCCATCCAACGAGTGGAGATAATGCGCGACTGCTTTTCGATTTTCGCAAACGTTTTCTTTGAGATTTGCAGATCCTTGTCGAGCTGCTCGCCAATATTGAGCAAGTGCTGCTGGTCCCACAATATGGTCATCATCTTCGGATAGCCCTTGTTTACGTACGTCTCCGTGTAGAAGTACTTGTAGTAGCGCAATATCTCGACCAGATCGGTGCTAAACTTGGCCCAGTTCAGCACATCTGCACTATTGTTGAGCATCAGCACGTCCAGATAGACATCATCGGGCATCTGGCAGCGCGTGAAAAGCCCTTCCATGGACCACGTAAATAACTTGTGCGGCAAGTCATTCAGGCTCATGCCACCGCAGTCCAGGGAGATGCTTTGCATGATCCGCAGACGGTTCAAGACGCGCGAAAACATGATGAACAGCGATGAGCGCTGCACCGATTCCAGCAGCTCGCCATAAAGCAGGTCCCTGCGACCCGTCAACACGCTCAGCTTGTAGGCGTGGGCAGCGATCTCCCTTACGCTGATTCGTTCCAGCTTGCGGGTGGTCCTTATCATCTGTCGGGCAGATCGCAGAAAGCTGGTTATAGACGTCGAGTATTGCGGCATCGCACTATAACTTTTATCCGATATTGAATTGGAACTAGACTCTTTGCTCAGCTCAGGCTCGTCGTGCTCCATGTCCAGCTCGGCAAACAGTTGACGCAGAAACGTGTCGCGGCACCAGGCCGGATTGTGTTCCTGAGCCATTGGCATTAACAGCTCGTAGCGTCGTTCCAGCTCGTTTATCCGTTGCAGCAGTAGTATCTCTTCCCTTGACTGGGCATCATCAAATTTCGCGTAATTAGAGGACATACTGTAAGTCTTTTAATTCAAGTAATTGCAAAAACAATTCGCAAAATAAATATATTCAAGAGCAAAACATATGTTTAAGCCAACAACAAACAGAAATAACTGGAATAAAATATCATTCCTATCATAACAACACCAGCATTCCCCATTCAACTCAACTCACAGCCTTCTTGTGCTAATAAAAATCTATGACAAGTGAGAAGAATTAAGTGGCAAGCCGTGTATGTGCATACCCTGTGATACCTTCTAAATTAAATTATTTTGCGGAGCTTGATTACTTAATTGCTTAATTTTACTTCCTGCAGATCGTTAATTCGAGATATGGCTAAAAATAGGATTGTATCGATATCGATTGTAATCTTAGATTTAGTCCTTAGATTTCAAGTCTCTAGCTTTTTTAGCAGTGCGGATGGATCGACAGCAGGTGAACAAGGTTCGGCTCTTGATACTGTTCAAGAATATGTATATATACCTATATACCTTATGAATTAAAATGAGGTCTACCTTTGTCTGTTGCGCATATTTGGCTAAAACCATTATACCGTTCCCTTCTATGAGTTCGTGGTATATCTCGTTATATAAGGTATTGGAATATTTAAATCTTCGAATTCACTCCGCTTGCATTCTGGTTAAGAAATAAGACGACGTAATTTTCCACAGCCTATGAACCGTTTTCAATCGATTTCATGTAAAAATTTCTTTAGACGCGCTCAGCTACTGGATTGGTACTATATAAGAAACATCTCAATGATCGCTCCACTTAGTACGGAAAAAACCTAGAGATGAATTCCCTGATAGTTTCTGCACTATTGGCACTCTGTGGCATCGGACTATTGGTCCATGGTCAGTTTGAAACGATTTGCAGAAAACGTCAGATTCATCTAACTAGGGAGCAATTAAATATCCAGCAGCTAAAGTTAAGGCATGAATATCAGGTGAAGTGGTTGGAGCAATTCTGTGAAGATACCGTGCCGCCAATTCCAGTCGTGGAACCACAAAATCCAACTTGTGATGGTCGGAAAGAAAGAGGATCACTTCTTTCATGTTTTGGGCTAGTAAAGATAATGCCATTCTAATTAGCTAAGAAATGGAGTAACAATAATTTCAACCGAAATAAAACAAAATTTCGATCAAAAAAAGAATGGAAAAATGCATTTTATATATCTCAAGTCCTCTTGTAATAAGTGTGAGAGAAAAATTTTATTAACAATTAAGAATCTTTGACAATTTTACGTACAAGGTCGTACACATCAAATTGTTAAGTTTATTTTAGTTTTTCTTGTTCTATATAATATTAATTATAATATAGTAATATAAATGTAATACTTAAAGCATGTATAGCATTTTGTACAAATTCTATAGACCTTTGTATTTATGGAGCAATATGCGTTGTTATAAATTGTTGAAAAAAAGAAATGAAATCGGATATATTAGGTGAGAAAATCAAAAGTAAACGGTGCCCCGGCTCTAAAACAATAAGGGTGTAAAAAATCGTTTTAAGTCGATTTTTATCGATTTCAGACGTGGCATTTGAATTTTCTCGATTTGTAAATATGGTAAATTCGGGAATGCGATATTTTCTTTCTGTTGCATACATTCTGACCAGTTTTTTTTTCATCTATTTTGTTAATTTATGAATCAAGCATGCATAGTATATTAATCCCTCAAGTTATAACGATGCCAAGTCCATGTATCGGGAGGGAAGCGATGTTAACAAAAATAAATTATAAATAGTTTAGGATTAAAAACTTGAGTCTACTAAATGCATTCTGTATGGTAATTTGCTTATACAATAATGTGAATTGATTTCCGGTAAGTTAAGAACCATTTTCAATCGATTTCATAATTCAATTGTTACAGCTGCGCTTATTCACTATATAAGGCGGATCTAACGATTTTTTCACACAGTGTTGAAAGGACCGGAAGATGAGTCCATTATTGTGTTTAGCGCTGTTGGCGCTCTGCGGCATTGGAGTTGTGGTCCATGCATCATCGCTGCAATGCGCCTTAAGGAAGAATTATTTAATTAGGCAGCAAGTGCAAATTCAAAAGCTGGAAATAAAACAGCAGATGAAAGTGAAATTGCTTAATCAGTTCTGCATGCTAGACTTGCCACCGATTCCGGATGCTCCAACGGCTAACCAAAAGCAACCATTGCCAACGCAGCAAGCGCCAACAAGTTCAGGTGGACATCCATCAAATCTATCAATAGTTGTGATTTATCCACCAGGAAGTCCATGTAACCCAAAACCAAATGATTCGTTATATTCGACACCTCCCCCCGGTCAGACAAGTCCAACAGAGCCCCCGGGTCCGACTTTAAGGCCCGGTGAGACAGAGTATCCGACATACCCGCCTGGTGCTTCTGCTCAGGGATGGCCTGCATATCCAACATATTCTACCATTCGGCCAGTTCCAACAAAAGAGGGCGAGTATCCGACATATCCACCCGGCGACACCGAATATCCGACATATCCGCCTGGTGCTTCTGCTCAGGAATGGCCAACATATCCAACATATTCTACCATTCGGCCAGTTCCAACAGAAGAGGGCGAGTATCCGACATATCCACCTAACGAGAGCGAATATCCGACATATCCGCCTGGCGACTCTATTCAGGGATGGCCTGCATATCCAACATATTCTACCATTCGGCCAGTTCCAACAAAAGAGGGCGAGTATCCGACATATCCGCCTAACGAGAGCGAATATCCGACATACCCGCCTGGCGACTCTATTCAGGGATGGCCTGCATATCCAACATATTCTACCATTCGGCCAGTTCCAACAAAAGAGGGCGAGTACCCGACATATCCGCCTAACGAGAGCGAATATCCGACATACCCGCCTGGCGGTTCTGTTCAGGGATTGCCTGCATATCCAACATATCCGACCATTCGGCCAGTTCCAACATACATGCCCGGTCACACCGAGGAACCGACATCTTCGCCTGATTATCCTTCTAATTTAGTTAAAACATATCCGCCCAACGCCTTTCCGAAATATTCGACTCGTCAGCCAAGTACAACAAATCTGCCCGATAAGACCCAGTGCCCGACAAGTCCAACAAGTCAACCTACTACGGAATGGCCAATCTTGCCGCCTCCCGGCCCGCCAGGCCCAACCAACAATCCATTCGCAATCGGTCCGCCCAATGGCGCAATATTTGTAATAGTTGATTGTCCGTATTCATACTCAACACGTAAACAACAACTAACAGACTCTCTATTCCAATTAAGTCAACAGAGACTTTTGCTCGACCGTCAACCAAGTCGGCAAGTTAGTTTTAGAACGGCAAAGGATGTTCAAGATGATTCCAAGCTGAAGACTGTAAGTGCGAGCTATGCAAGGCGATTCCCTGATTTTCTAACTAAACCCTACATTTGTTATCTGCAGGTGGAGCTGATCAAGAAGTACGGTTACCCAGTGGAGACACATTTTGTGAAGACGACGGATGGCTATGTGCTTTGCCTACATCGCATACCGCGGCCAGGGGCACCGGTGGTATTGCTGGTGCACGGACTCATGTCCAGCTCAGCGGCTTGGGTACAAATGGGTCCGTCCAATGGACTGGCCTATCTACTGTACCGGCAGGGCTACGATGTCTGGCTGTTAAACACGCGCGGCAACATCTATTCGCAGAAGCACGTCAATCCCGATATTAAGCCAGCTGAATACTGGAGCTTCACCTTCCACCAAATTGGCATCTACGATCTGCCAGACTCGATTGATAAGATCCTGGACGTTACGAAGCAAACTCAGATTCAATATATCGGACACTCGCAGGGCTCTACCGCCTTCTTTGTGATGTGCAGCGAGCTACCCGATTACTGTGAGAAGGTCATCCTCATGCAGGCACTCTCGCCAACTGTCTTTATGGAGCACACCCAGAGTCCAGTGCTTCGGTTCTTCGCTCTGTTCAAGAGCAAATTCAGAGTAAGTTTCTTGTTTTTGAGAGAGTAGCTCTCTCTCTCTCTCTCTCTTTCACTCTCTCTCTCTCTCTCTCTCTTTTCCAACCAATATATTGATCTTCTGTTCTTGTGCGCTTTCAGATTTTGCTCAACTTACTTGGTGGTTATGAAATCTCAAAGAATAACCGTATAATCGCACAGTTCCGGAATCATATATGCAAGGGCAGTCTTCAAGAAAGTCCAATTTGCGCCGTCTTTGAGTACGTGATGTGTGGATTTGGCTGGAACCAGTTCAATTCTGTGAGTATAAAATCTATGTGTGATATTATCTGGCTTTGCTCGGCCAAATGTTTCACTCTGAGCAGCTGATAGCTATGGTATTTACGATTATCAAGCTGGCATAATTCAAATCAAATATAGACGACTTCTTCTTATTATAGTTTTATGGATCTTTGAATATTTGATTAAAGCGGCCATCAGCTGTTCTCCATTATGGGAAATGATTGTTCTCAAGACAAGTTTTCTATCATTTGGTTGACACATCCATCAACCCATCATGTATATAAAATGTAAATATTTAATATATATTTATTTTTCTGATATTATAGACTCTCACACCGCTAGTCGTTGGCCACGCTTCGCAGGGTGCATCCAGCTACCAGGTTTATCACTATGCCCAGCTAATCAGCAGCGTCAAATTCCAGGCCTTCGATCATGGTGAAGTGATTAATGAACAACAATATCAGAAGCCCGAGCCGCCGGCGTACAATCTGACTCAGGTTAACTGCAAGGTGGCGATTCATCATGCTACTGACGATTGGCTCTCCTCCAAAAACGATGTCCAAAGTCTCTCAAGTCGTCTGCCTAACGTCATCGACGAATGGAATATCCAAGAAAAGGGCTTCAGTCACTATGATTACATGTTGTCGCAGCAAGTTAATCAACTGATTAACAATCGCGTTATCAACAACTGTGTCGCACAAACCAATCCTCAACCCAATTGTTAATCTCAATCTAATAGGAATAATTAAAAAAACAAATTGAGGCGTTTTGGATAAATATCTGAAAAGAGCAAGTACTAAAACTCGCATCAAATCATAAATTAATAACCAACGAACTACTGACGCTAACTCTCCTAGGCTAAGCTCTTTGATAAAGTTCTCAAGCAAGCACTTCGGGCTTTATGTGATCAAAGCTTGCTTGTTATCCCCAGATCCCATTGATAATAGATAAAAGAGGGACTCGTTGATTTTATGTAAATATGTGTAACAGACAGTAGGAGGCTTCTCAAGCCCCATTTTAAATAGTTATTCGGTAACAGCCGAGTCGATCTAGCATTAAGACTTTAGGCGTAGCTTCTTTTATTGCCTGCGCAAATCAATTTTATTTCATGTCGTCGTCGCATTGATTTCATAAGACCGCTACAAATCGATATCAATCCCGTGCCATATTGTCATAGTTCACTTCTTAGGTAACTCTCCTGCCCCCCTTAAAGAACATAATATCTTACGTATTGTCATGCGCTTTTTAAATGCTGTATCAAAACCTCGAAAATTGCATATTGAAAATGTATGAATTTTTCTACAGTTTGAGGTTATCATTCGAAGCTTTTTTGGGAGTGTATTATTGCGTATATATGTATGGAAGAAAATTCGAATTTTTGTGACGGCAGCTCGGCACAAGGCGCCTCCTTATGGACAATTTTTAAAGATATAAGTAAAAGAATTAGACTTATTCCCAATTTTGTAAGTGCTTTAATCGGAGTTTTTCCAATTATCGGAAAACAGCGGAGAAAGTACATTTTAACCTAGTTAGAAATGCGATTTGATGAGCTTTCGAGCTATCCTAAGCTAACAAGCTTTTAGACGATACGTTTCGAGGTTAGGATTGCAGGAAGCAGGCTTTCATCAATAATAATTAAGGCCAAGCTCAACTGTCAAGCTGAAACATTGGAGGAAAGGGTAAGCCTCTTCTACAACTCTTAAAGTACAGCTGAAATGTGCTTCAATTTCAGACATTTTGTAAAGCTCGCTTCTGTAAAATTCTTATATACTATATAAAAGATTTCCAACTTAATTGACTTATTGCTTTAAGCGGCGTTGCTCGTATTTCCAGAAGGCAACTTGACAGCGACTGGCTGTGTAAAATCAATGCATATTCGAGTAATTTGCATATTCGGATGTAAAACGATTCATAAATTTCAGATGCTGCATGCATATTTACACGCCGCCGGGCTCAGTCGAAAATTAAGTTTACAATCGAAATGGGGACCAAGACAAGGACTCAGCGCCAGCCTGGTGGCCTGACTTTAAATTGCTCACGTGTGTGACACAATTTGGGAGCACGGGCAGCGGCAACGACGGAAGCGGAAGCGAGAAATGTGAAAAATGCGCTAGCTGAACAAAAACAGTTGAATGAGCCGTGTGGCAGGTGGCAGGGTGCGGCTGGCAATGTGCCGCTAAACAGCTGGCACGTACACGCTGACACGCCCACGCCTACGCCAGGGCCGCGGGGCAAACAATTTGGAAAGCACGCACACATATACAGAAACACCTCGTACAGGCGCTGTGCACATGTAGGCTTCAGTTCCGGTCTTCGTGTCCGCTTTCCCAGCCCATCTTGAGGCTATCAACGTCATGGGCCCCGCCATAAGCCTCAAATGCCTTGCGTACGTGTGTTATTTAATGCTTATCTTTATCCTTTTCCCATTAGTGTTATTGATGTTGGCAGTCGGCGCTTCACAGACCCCCCTCCTTTAGCCCATGTGGCACCTGTGCGTTGCGCCTCGATAAACCTGGCCGCCAGCTAAACGCTGACAATTGATGCCAGAAGCTGCCAGTGGATGAAAACCTGGCCCAAAATCACGCGCTAAACATTATTTCAATGCTCCAGGCGCTCACATATGTACTCATTCGCATACGTATATGTATGTGTGCTTTACTCCATAAAGCAGTTTGTCGCAAATATTTAAAGCTCTTCGTCTCCTTCTCCCTCTCTCTCTTGTTGGTGTTTTACCGCGCTGCCTTCATGTGCTTAGCTCCAAAGAGGCCTCTTGGGGCCTCTTGGGGCCTCTCGATGCCACAACTGACATTTACAAATGCTAAACTTGGCTCTAGCAACGGGTGGCGGCCTTAAAGGAAGCCATTCGAATTGAGACGAGACTAAGTTATGGTGCCAGATGGTTCGAGTTAAAGCCTTATAAAAACAAACGCAATAAATTTAAGAAATAAATTTGCGACTCGACTCGACACTGAACAGCGTCTACTCTGAGTTCAGGAGAGGTAAAAATATATAAAAAGTAATGAGTCGTTTATCTGGGCTATGAATATTTAGTCCACAGCTGATAATGATCCCAGTATAGAGTACGAATATATAGATTGAAGGTACGTTCCATGACTTTCATTAGAATCCATATAGGCTATATATAGACATGATAAGCTTGTGATACCAAGTTCCTAAAGTCAATAAATCTACTAGGCATCTCATATTAGGTAAAGTTTTATTAGTGACCCTGTCATTAAGGCAAAAGCCCCACCGAAGACCCGGGATCAAGATATAAGCATAGGATATGGTTGGTATTTTATCTGAGGATAAAAGAAGCCGCAAAGCTAAAAGCACAGTTTGAATAAAAATCCAAAAAATGAATATAAAATTAATTAAAACTTGTATCGGAAAGAATTTCAAAATAAATCGAGGAGCTCCCCTTGCCCTTAAAGCTATTATTGGTTTAAAAGTAAATCGAACGCGCTGTGAATATAAAACCAAATTAGTTTTATCTAAGGACTTAAACTGTTAATAAAAGGAAATCAAACACGTTTATAATCCTTAACAGGTTATTATAAGTATGTCATAAACTATGTAACGCATGAAACGAGACTTTTCCGATTTAATATATCCATATATTCGTCTGTGTAACTGTCTGTATGTCGGCAAGCGTTGACAGTTCAAACCAACTTTCTATCTTGGTGTTTGGTTTTAGCCCATGCTAAGGTTTGTCACATATATTTAAAATGTAAATAAAACAAATCAAATTAAAATTTCTGATTGCCCGTTCTACTGAAAATATAGCATGTTGTGCATATTTTCATATAGAAATTGCGGGCTAAATTGAATCTTTAGCCAATATTGGCATCTACCAAATATAGTTCGATGAATCCAATGGTTGGGACCCAAGATATGCTTTAAAGTTAAGTCTCCATCAAAAGACCTATTTTTAATATTAATTTGTCAATTTGTTTGGCATAAGGTTCTTTTCATATTTAAAATCAAGTTGGAAAATTAATATCGAACCGGTTTTCAGCTTTTCCCATAATCTCACGGGTAAAGTCCATCGTTTCTGCCGTTTTTTTTCTGGTACAGAAAACAATATCAAATCTTTGGAATCGATTTTATTTTAGTCGATAAGTTTTCGTACACATTTGTAGGGCATAAAAAGCAACTGTCAAGTCTCGACTGCAGAAGCTAACGATAGGTATTTTAGGGTTGTATGGAAGTGAGACGAGTGGGGAATGACAGGTGCGGACGGCAGGGTTGATTGTAGGTCGAAAGAGAGAATCGTAGTTAGCTTTGACAGATCCATCTCAGGACGTGTTTTATTATGTATTTTTCGATTGGTGGAGAAACTTTTCACACATTTTAAACACCAATTCCAACAAATTCAAATGTATTGTTAAATGTTAAGCGGTCGAAAAATTTCGCGCGGCCCAAAGTGTATAGAAACCATTCCGATTCGACGATAAACCGAGTTCTCTATTTTCTATGTAAAGCGTCGAAAAGCTGCCCAACACTCCGCCGGCAATAACATCAAAGAATAACCACTACGGAACCAAAAATGTTAGCACGCAAATCACAAATGAGTCCACGGACGCCGCCTGTCCATGAGCGGATCGCCCTGCAGTGTGCGAAGAACATAAGCAAGTTGGCGGCTGCCCTGCCGAAACCGCGTACCCGATCGGGCCATCTGCCAGTGCTGGTGGAGCTGCGCCGTCCCGATGAGGATGTCATCTATCGCTACCAGGTGAATCTGCCGCCAAGCTGTCTGGATCGCGACCATCAGCAAATGAATGCGGCCGAGGCCAAGGCCCTCAGCCAGCAGTTGAAGCTGCCCTGCCTCGTGCACGGCCGCGCGCAGGAGCCAAGTTCTGTGCCACAGGCTCTGCTGTCGCTGGACACACTGGGCGGCGAGGCGCCCCAACTAATGATGATGCAGGATGCAGTGCACGTGGTGCACAGTCGTCACAAGCACGAAGCCATTGGCGAACCAGCCACCAAGGAAGCCATCTCCACATTCCACTATCCGGCCTATGCCAGTGGTGCATCGAAGATAACGCGCGACCATTTCATGGCCACGCTGCACGAGGAGCAGTCCAGTCCGTTGCAGTTCGAGCTGCTCTGGGCGGACCAGCACGAGGATCTTGACGAAGAGGAACAATTGCAGCCGCAGCTGCTCAATGCTTACGAGCCGCCGTCCATTGATCTACATAGCATAGCCCAACACTTTCCGGGCAATGGGGAGGAAGACGGAGCACCGTCGCCGCTGGAGCCAGTTAATAGCTACAGGTTTGTTTCAACACCAAAGGCGCTGCCCACCCGGCACTACATCAACAGACACCATACCAATAGACCACAGCAAGTAGCGCACCAGCTGCCCTCGAGCCTGAAAGCTGAGCAGCTGCCCTTGAGGGTCCTCAATGGCTACAGGCAGCAACGCAGGCCCAACAAATTTCCCAACTACTGGGCGACCAATAACAATGATAAAATGATTTATCAGCAAAAGAGATTTGGAAATAGCTACCGAATGGCGCCGCCACAGCTAACAAGTTATCCACCGATTGGCCCCAATGGCTACAAGCCGCAGCACCACGAGCCGCCATTTTACTGCGACTTCAAGGATGACAATGCCAAACAGCAGGAGCCGCGGGAACGCGATTGCTTGCCCAATGCCAACGCCCAACAGTACCGGATGGAAGGGGTGCATCCACTTTACGCACATCTGCCGCGCGTTGACAATTATGGGCATCACTTTGACCTGCAGCGGGAGC